TATATATATATATATGTGTGTGTGTATATATATATACGCAGAACGCTACACCATTGTATTAATGTACTTATTCACTCATCATCGGTACCATACATCTCCCTTTATGAGCGGAAAGAAGCCTCATCACGAGCGATCACCCTCTGCTCACGTCCCTACTTCATATCAATTGCACCTGTGTCGTTGACTTTATCAGCTAGAAACCTACACATTCAACTGAGATACGGGGGCACTGACAGGTATTACGCACAATAGAGGTGTCGTCTGTTCTTATCACGGCCGCCTAATCATTGTGCGCAGCGGAAACCGGAGAAGAAGGAGAAGGGTGAGACTGGGACCGAATCGGCCGAGAAAAGCAAAGGGAAAGGGAAAGACAAGCCACGCCCAGTACGAAACATGTATGTGCACGTACATAAGTCATATATATATATGTATATAAATATGTGTGTGTGTGTATTGAGTATGTCTGGAGAGTACCACTTATGTGTGTCTGTTGTATGTACAACATGCACAACTATACCCAAATACATGCCCAAAAAGTACTACACATATGCGTCTGTGCTATATGCAGACGTCTGCATACATCTCGTGAAACAATATGGCCTTTCACCAGTGAGGTTTTGGGGGTCGTCGCGCAAGTCGTGTGAATATAGGTATGAGAAGAAGAGATCCAACACGTATGCTCGCAAGTATCTATAGTGCAGCCTCGCGCACACGTTCGTAGTATCGTCACCAAATGGACCTTGGAGCATCTGCGCATATACACTGACACTACCTTGTGCAGGCAAAAGCTAGGAACAAGACTAAACACACAAAGATATTTAATTATGTGCGTGTTTTTTCGCTTTAAGATATACGTGAATGTACATACATATACATGTACACATATTCAGTATTAAAGCGACTATGTTCGCAAATTCATGTGCATATAAATGTACAATTTGTTGCATATGCGTTTATGCAGTGCCGTTGGACTGGCGTTATTTCTGACATCAAATGTTATACGTACCTTATAATTATACATACATACTAATTCGACAATAAAATTAAACACACATACGAATTCGATAGTAAATATATGCATACATACTAATTCGATAGTAAATATATACATACATGCTGATTCGATAGTAAATATATACATACATACTAATTCGATAGTAAATATATACATGCATACTAATTCGATAGTAAATATATACATACATACTAATTCGATAGTAAATATATACATACATATTAATTCGATAGTAAATATATACATACATACTAATTCGATAGCAAATATATACCTACATGCTAATTCGATAGTAAATATATACCTACATGCTAATTCGATAGTAAACATATACTTACATACTAATTCGATAGTAAATATATACATACATACTAATTCGATAGTAGCACTATATGTTATGCAGCTATCTAGTACGACACGGCCAGTATGAGATGAAAGAAAAAGACGAAGACTGCAAATTGACAGCCTTGGGACGTGAACAGGCGAAATTAGCTGGACAGCGCATCAACCAACTGACGTTCAAATTAGATAAGATCTTCTACAGGTATGGGTGTTTTAGGGTATATATGTATATGTATATTCTTTTGTATATGTATATCTATATGTATATATATATATATATATATATATACTATATATATATATATATATATACACTATATATGTTTATATATGTATATGTACAAGTATATGTTCATGTATATGTAGTATATATATATACATATATATAAATACTATATATATATGTATATATATACATATATATATATCTATATATATATATTTATATATTTATATATATATATATATACATTCCTTCATAATATGTACATTCCTCCATAATATGTACATTCCTCCGTAATATGTACAATCCTCCGTAATATGTACAATCCTCCATAATATATTAGCATTATCTCGTGTTACAGATGAGTTGTGCTACGGCTGTATTCATGAGTGCGTGTATTTGAAATTCTTTGTTGGGCAGTTTCGTATTTCAACCAATTATATGTACATGTACCAAGTGGTTATATTTAAATTTATTTTCACAGTGGTATAGCTACGTATATTTATGAAGTGCTATAATTATATGTATAGCTACAGTGATATAAATATGTATATTTATGAAGTGCTATATTTATATGTAAGCTACAGTGACATAAATATGTATATCCTTGAAGTGTTTTAATTATATGTATAGCCACACAGTGTTATAATCATATAGGTAGAGCTACAAGGTAGTATGATTTGTCTTTGAGGATATTCCTCACGGTCTGTCCCTTTCAACGTCTTCTCATCAACTCGCGCTGCAACACCATAGCCCGTAGTACCAGATCAGCGCGTTGTGTCGTTTGTTGCTCTCATTTTAAAAGTGCCAAGGATATATTTAGTAGGATCCACTCTCTCATATCATGGATGTCAAAGATATAAACCAAAGATATATATATATATGCATGCGCACACTATGACTCACTCGGCGAATCAGATGACTCATACCATACGCTGTCTCGGCTGTGTGTCTGCAGCACAATGACCCGAGCCACCGAGACAGCCAAGATAATTATGGGAGAGATGAAAGACGTGCCTGCCAATGAGAGCTGTGATATGACCCGCGAGGGTTGCCCGATCCGACCCGAGCCTGATATCGTACGTGTCGCAAATTATATGTGTCGTGAATTGTGTGTGTTGCAAATTGTACATGTGTACAACAACGCCGCACGTCGTGTCCTTTGCCTGTGGCGATAGTTTTGCGTCGTTAAGCTGTCATGTCGCAAATCATAACACCTTACCAACCGGTCAAAGGGAATGGCACATTTACAAAGCACGCGTACACGCATGACGGGGGGATGAGTGGGGTGTGAGTATAGTGTGGCCTATGAAGGTGTTAGTGTCCTTGTACCGATGATAGATGTCAGTACTAGGTGTGTTGCACCTATTGAGGTCAGTACCAGGTGCTTTGCACCTAGCGAAGTCAGATCCAGGTATATGGGGGAGGGGAGTATTCTTCGCGCACACAACCTAACTGCTTGTTCGCCATGAAATGCAGACTACGTAGCGTCTACATACACATACTTTATTAACTATACACACACACACAAATATGTAGCACAACCTACGTAGCATCTACTTACACACAATTTATTAACTATATATATACACACACATAAGTATTACAACCTACGTAGCATCTACATACACACACTTCATAAACTATACACACACGCACACAAACAAGTATTACAACCTACGTAGCATCCACATACACACACTTCATCTACTATACACACACACGCATACAAGTACACAGTCTGTGCCCAGTCACTCACATCGCAACTGCTTCCCCTATCTCCCTTACCCTTGCTAGTGGGGTGTACCTACAGACGCCGACTACTTCGAAGACGGCGCACGCATCGAAGGTGCCTTCCGCAAGTACTTCTACCGACCCGACCCAGACCAGAAGGAAACATCGCACGAGATGATAGTGTGCCACGGCAATGTCATCCGCTACTTTGTGTGCAGGGCGCTACAGGTACAGGGTGTACTGTGCATGGCCAAGCGAGTTGGATGTGTTTGTGTCTGGGTGTGTCTGGTATATATTTATATATAATACATATATATTTGTATATATATATATATATATATATATATACAAACAACTAAACATACATACATACGTACATACATACATACATACATACATACATACATATATTCATACATATATACATACATATATACATACATTCATACATACATACATACATACGTACATGCATACATGCTTACTTACATAATTACATACATACATACAAATACACACACACATATATATATATAGATGTATATATGTATGTGTGTATTCTCTCCTAAACACCCAATTCCAATATTGGCACACACCACTGTAGGTACCACCGGAATATTGGCTGAGAATGGGTGTGGCTAACTGCAGCATAACGCACATTACCATCACAGCATCGGGACGTGTGTCGATACGCGCTTTAGGCGATGTGGGACATGTGCCTGCGGATAAGCAGACATTTACGTAAACGTATTGCGAACACCTAATTTATCACCAAGTATACGAGCGTATTAATAAACGTTACCCTTTCGTAGAAATACGCTGACTCCTACTTCTGCCAAGCCTCTGGGAAATGGTATGCCACACAGTCCAAGTAAAGTGAACACAAGGGGTCTGTTAAGCCTAAGAGCATGTGCAAAACCCTCAAACCCTAAAACCCTGTAACAAGGGGTCCCCCTCAAGCCTAAGAGCCTGTGCGAACCCTGTCATGAGTACGAGCAGGGGTTGTCGTGTTTATTCATGTTCATTCCGAGGTCATCTGAAATATACTGCCTGTTTTGTGGGCCTTTTTTGGGGCCAAAGTTGGTTCACCTCACCTCGTCTCATACACACGGACCGTACAGTGGTTAACCGCATGCCGACATGGGCGAAGGCTGTACCATCCGCCATCTATTTTGGCCTCAATTGCGGCGCTCCGGACAGTACGAATTGCCCTCACACCGGAGAACAGTGTCAACTCCACCATACACTCACTACAGGTGTCGTTGACAAGTATCGCGTCCTGAAAGTTCTGTACCTAGTGTTATCACTATTATTGGTCGCGTACACACTTGTTGTGCCGGAGAGAGTGTCTTACCTTCACAAATCAGCCACATCCATATTCCGCAGATGAACGGCTGTGGTTATAAGCGAGTGAGAATACATAGCTGTGTATGCCCAAGACAGCAAGCACCTGCCGGCGCTATGTATACACTGGGCCACCCAACCTGCACCAACATCTATACTCCTATCATGCATATACCTAACACGTTTACCTACCCAGTACATATACCTACACGTTTACCTACCCAGTAACCTCACTCGTCGGCTATCTTAATCACCACCTTGCCCTTGGCCCTGCGGCTCTGCAACACCTCAAAGGCCGCTCGCACACCTTCAGTACTGAAGTCAAAGGGTCCGTTCGGATCCACTATACACTTCAAGCTACCGTCGTCTACGTATGCGAATAGCCTGGCCAGCATCCCTGGTGAACAATCCAGGGCTAGGATCATGGTGTACTTACGGGTGAAAGGCCATACCCGGGTCCAGAGAGCTCTGCCCAGCTTGGGCGTCACCCACTTCAGGGCGTCTAGTACACTGTGTATGTAGTGAAGATAGAGGACAGACAGGCACATCAGTGCATGAGAAGGTGATGGGTGTAGTAACGGAGTGAGATGGGGTGAGAATGCATGGGACACGTGGGGGAGGGGTTGAATATTGTGCATTGTATTGCTATATATACCTGTAAAGGTTGTTTATATATACCTATAAAGGGTATTTATATGTGCATATAAAAATTATTTATACATACCTATAAAGGTTATCTATATGTACCTATAAGTTTATTCATATATACCTATAGAAGTTACCTACATGTACCTATAAAGAATATATGTATACCTATAAAGGTTATTTATCTACACCTACAAAGGTTATCTATATGTACCTATGAAGGATATATATATATATATATTGTGATATCCCCGTAGTGGAAGTGGTTAACCAACTTGCCAATACGGGGATATGACAAAACTGTAACCTATTAGGCACGAGTCCCCTTGTCCCTAAAACTCAGTAGCGCCGCGACAACACGCTATCACAGAAAACTTTTGGAAATCGGGGAATCGAACCCATAGATCGCAGCTTTGTGATATCCCCGTAGTAGCAAGTATATATATATATATAAGATTATTCATATATACCTATAAGGTTATCTATGTGTACCTATAAAGGATATATATATACACCTATAAGGTTATTTGTATAAGCATATAAAGGTTATTTAAATATACCTATAGAGGTTATTTATATATACCTATAAAGGTTATTTGTATATACCTATAAGGATATTTATATATAGCTATAAAGGCTACAGTGGATAATGGAAGAAATAGGTAAGATCGACCTCGCACAAGTGACCGTGAAGGGACAAATAGAGGACAAAGTTCGAAATTTGAGGTCAATCTCAAAATAGCATAAAGGTCACCGTGCACGATAAAAGAGAAGGGAGAGATCGAAATAGCATACGTACCCTAGGAGCAAACATCAGACCTTCACACGTGTAACAGACACTGTATCTGTTTTCAACACAATAACACACACACTCAGGCACTCCATGCGCAGCAGAAAACGACAGCGACTAAACTGGTACAGTCCGCAATTGGAGGTGTGCAGCAGACCTTCTTGCGATCAGTGAGCTATGCATGCGCATTCACTGGCCATAGATCGACAGAGTGCGTCACTGTTACAATGCACGGTACTACACTCGTGT